CCCCAAAACCCCAAAACCCCAAAACCCCAAAACCCCATTAACAACTTTTCTTGTGTATAAATAATTTATAAGTGGAATGGAATCAGAGGAACAGAAGTTTCCTAAAATTATTAGACTTAATGTAGGAGGAATTACTTTTACCACCTCAAAAGGTTAGTCCTCGCCTGACTTTGTAGACACGCTGCTTTCAGATGAAAACTCAATGCTGGCTCTTATGTTTAGTGGGAAGTATAACGTAGAGAAAGATGATGATGGAAGATACTTTATTGACAGAGACGGGACCCATTTCAGGTAATCCATCCCAATAATCTCTAGATATATCCTCAACTTCTTAAGAGATGGTAGCACCTATATCCCATATACGAATAAACAGTTGGTAGATGAACTATATGAAGAGGTAAAATTCTACCAAATCCAAGAACTTCTAATGAGGCTTGAAGAAGAGCGGAACCAGAATTTGGCTTGTAGCCAAATTGATTACATAAAACTTCTAGAGTTACTAAATCTATCATCGAAACCATTGCAAGCTCCTTGAATCAAGCTCTCCAAAATGCAGTTGTCTTACCTTGATTTCTCCAAATGAAACCTTATGGGGAGCGACCTCAGCGAGGTTACTGGAATTGAAGTTAATTTCAGACATTCGAAGCTCTCCGGCTGAGTATTTAAAGAAGCCAACTTGAAAGGTTGAAATATGAGAGAAGTCTTAGCAGAAAAATGCAACTTTCAATCAGCAATTCTAAGCGGAGCAGACATGAGAAATGCTCTGTTCAAAGAATGTGATTTCACTTCTGCAAAAATGTCTGGCGTAGATCTGAGAGAAAGTGTTTTGGATAACTCGGTCTTCATAGAAGCTAACCTCATTGTAGGAAATTTAGAAAGGTAAGATGCTTCATAAACTTTATAGAGCCTCTCTTTATGGATGAGAAATTACAGGTGCAAACCTTGATAGAGCAAGCCTGAAAGGTATTAAAGGTTTAGATCCGAGTATGGTAAATAGCTAAAATACTTCAACTTTTAATTATTGAAATGGGGTTTTGGGGTTTTGGGGTTTTGGGGTTTTGGGG